GAGAAAGCTTACTGCTTGTATCTTATGCCCTTGTTTCCTGGACGGAATCGAACCACCAGTGGATTTTGCGGTGACGGCGGTGTCTCTAGCTGTGCCATTAGGTTCGAAGTATGTAACCATTTCGTGATCCGTAGATTTTCAGGCCGAGAATTTCGGTGAGGTGATGTGTGGTGCACGAAGACGAGCGGCTCTAATGCGTGTATCGAATCTTCTGGACGGTGAGCTGCAAAGAATGTACGCTCAAGGACGTGCCGATACCCAAATATGCAACACTAGACAAATTGTGAGTACATCTGATAGCATCACCTGACATCTGATGACGTCATTGAGCGGCAAGGAATAACCTAATCTGGCTTGTTTTCAGACCCTGGTAGAGTTCTTAGAATACCTGTTCTACAAAGTGAATGACGCGATCAATTCGTTGGACGGCGGCCAACATCGCGGTTATCATCGATTAGTTCGATTTCAGCATAAGACAAAAGATAAAGCGGTACGTCAATTATCGATCGATCTACAGTATCCAAAGGAGCCGGTGATTTCAGGGTTTGCCAACGACGGTGCTCACGATTCCGCTAGCCGGAGAAGATCAGTCCTTACCGCCCCCGTCGATCGTCTCCAATTCCGGCGTCTACTCGGTCACGTCACCGCGATCGAGTTGTGAAGAATATGAGGATTATGATAAGGTAAAGTAATTTTTAGGAAGTAACCAGGTAATACGGTAGCTTGACGCTTTTCAGATTTCCGACGAAGGCTTCTACAACTCGTCGTCCCGTCAAACTACCGTAATCGACGAGCCTGCAAGTCATTCAACACTGTGCAGAGTGTTGTACGATTTTGAACCGAAGCACGATGATGAGATTCAAGTACGTTCACATTCATACACATACTTTCCGAGGCAATTCGGATCTCCTGACCCACATCCACCAGAAGATCCGGATCATACCCCTCAAATTGCTAAGCCGCTGTCAAACTCATTTGTTCTCTCTCAAGGTAGCTGTTGCCTGCAGTTGGTTTTTCTCGCCGCTTCAGCGCGCGTCTACTTTTCGATCGATATCGACTATTCGGCTTGCGATCAATTTTCATAATCTCTTTCTTTGTCGCAGACATTTTTCGGCCTAGTGACAGATCCAGCCGGCGGGTTGAGCAAAACGGGGGTTTCGTATGCGGCTCCCCTTCTCAGGATAGGGATAGTGTTGTATATCCCGAATTTTGCCCAGCGGCCATTGGGTACTTGAACTGTCCAGGTCGCTTTGTGAATAGGCTTCATTAGGGGCTTCTCACACTTGCTGCCTTATATTTGGTGGTGCTGGAAGTTGCGAGCCCTTCGTTCCTGTAATCTGCTCCTTCTGCGACCGCTCGTAGTCATATTTAGGTCCTAATTAAGATGGGGGGGGGGGGGAAGATGCGCGCCGGGCGGCGCTCTGTTCGTACTGCTCTGTTGGGCTTACCTCTCTCGAAGGCCCATATTTCGAACTGCCACGTGCTGGCCGACATATGTAACTGCCCCTGAGATAAGTCTTGAAGGGGGTAAGAGACAGAGGGCCGCCCCTGCGTTGCCCCCCCCTCCTCCAACCACGTGAGCACCCCATAATTTCTACACCCCAAAGGTTCTAAAACCTTTCTATTAGTAATATAATATTCTTTTGGATTCTGAAGAAGACAAAATAGTAAGAAAAGCTTGAAATTTTTGCCCTAGAGAGGGCTCAATTTTTAGGCTTGGCTTGTATTTTGATTTGAGTGTTTATAGTTCGCGATTGTAAGCGATCAAGCGATCAAGGGATCAAGGCTATTAAGAAAAGAATAAGTGTCGATTAAGCGATCAGGCGAAATGACGATTAGACGAGTAAACTGCATAAGTATCGGCTGGCTGCGATCGCCTAGTCGCCTACTCGCCTAATCGATAAGTATACTTTCCTTTTGGATCATCGCCTTACCGCTTAATCGCTTAATCGCCTAATCGCATACGATCGCGAACTGTAAACACCGCCTTGGGCGAATATTGCAAAAATAGAAGTAAAATAAGTATATTCCATTAGAATCTTTACAGCCTCTGTCTCAGGTTCGTGCTGGTGAATGTGTGGTGGTCGAAGATCGACTTCGGTGATGATTGGCTGATTGGACATGTGATCTCAGAAAATGGAGGAGCCGACTATAAAACCGGACGATTTCCCACTTCTTACGTGGCGTTTTGAGTTCCCATCCGACAGTTGTGACAGTTGTCCGACCAAGATTTGTGCGAGTTGTCCGGTAGCGTTGAAAGAATTGGTTATTCGCTTGATTCTGTCACATTATTATCATGACTTGTTCAGAAGATGTGATGTTGAGATCTTCGAGGTCTCGTTGTTGTTGTCCCAAAAGTCGCGCACCAATTCGCTGGTCTTAGTGCTTTCCACATTGAGCATAATTTTTTCCAGAGCATTTTCAAGTAACAAATGGTACTTACTGCCTTGTACATAGGACTTTTGTACACATACAGCTCAAAAATTTTTATAGGAACCTTTTGTCCCATATATCGTGCCTAATCAATATAGACTTATTTTCATTGATTTTAGGTCATAGGAACTTTTCATCAAGTTTTTTTTCTATCGGTGATGTTTGTCATTTTTTCGCGTTTGTGTTGGCCTTACTTTCGTTGGCAGGCATAAATCAGTTTTGAATTCATGTGCATGGAATCGGTGGCGAGCTTGGAATCGTTTCAAATCGATCGCTTCTTAAATTCTTTATTCGTAGCAATCGAGAAGAGTCGTACTGCGCTTTTTGTGGTATGAATTATTCAATAAATTTTCACTTTGTTGCGAATAAAACTCGAAGCGTGTTTCGTCGGGCACCGGCGCGTGCGGCTGCGGCGCGGTTTCGATTGCAACGGTACGGAAGTGATGAGAGTTTG